GCCCCCTTCTTGATCTGAGTGAAACTAGGTTAGATGCATATACAACCTGAATTTGGACAATAAATTAACAATAAAATAACAATAAATTACAAGCAGGCAAAATTCCCCTCAACTGGAGGTGTAGATATGTGTGGCTCCACTAGATAGCAGTGTTACACTGCTCTCAAGAATTGAGCTTGATGAGTGCAGCTGGAAAGGAACACAGTGATGTCTTTTCTGTATTTCTCTTTCATATTTATACATTTATTGTAAAGTAATATTCTCAGTAAGCCAATATAAAGTGACAGTCCAGTGTTTTGAGTCATGTCTGTCTTGTGATGGATGTTAACAGCTCAGGCTCAGACACCCAGCCCACTGAGAACTGTGCTAATAGTGGCCCTGAGGTTGGAAGTTGTTTGCTTGGCCCTGTGGGGCCCAGTTTTATGCCTACATATGTCACTGCTCTCCATCTGCTCCACCAGCCTGAGTTTCCTCCAGAAGCCATTCAACAGACATCTATCCTGCCCCGTCTGAAAGCCCCAGGCCGCCGGCTTCCCTCCAGCCTCTCTCACTCTCTCCCAGGCTCTGGCACAAGCCTCCGAGTGAAAGCAAAACAATCGTTTGTTAGCCTGACAGAAGGAATGAGAGAGGAGGCGAGGTGTCAGCCAAGAGAAGGTGAGTGTAGATTGTAGAGCAAAACAGTGACTAGAAAAGGCTGAAGGCACTGAGGCTGAAGGTGAAGGCTTTGTTCAGCGTGCAGTTGAAAGAGGGCTCCTTAAGTATGATCCGAGAGCTAAAGAATGTAAACTATTCAACCATGGCTACACGCTGACCTCCTTTTATAATGACCGGATAAAATAATGAGTTCTTTTATAGCTTTATGGCAACTTAACCCTTTCAAAGCAGGCATCTTGTTTTAATGAGTCTTAACTGACAACTTCATCACGATCATCAAACAATCTCATTATGGGATGACTGTGCATAATGACTTATTGAGTTACACGCTGATAGGATTAGACAAACAGAGACTTTCATCATCACCTTCTCACAGTAATCCTTCCAAGCTCCTCTGTGAAGATCCGTGATAAAAGAGGGTAATTGACAAATCTTTTTCTGCTGAGTAGACTGTTCCTGAACCCAGTCTGATAAAATGTTTATTTAGGCATGATTCTTTCTGACAAAACTAGACTTCATGTGTATTTATTCTAACCAGTAATTACCCATTACGTGAGGGAACTACAACAAAAAAAGACCCTAATAGGCACATACATGCTGGTTATGTGATTCCAAACCTCTAGATGATTGTCTTGTAAAGTCTTCTTCCTTTTCTCAAGCGTTTGCGTAGTGACAGAAGATGGGCTTCCCAACATGTGCAGCGTTATAATTTATTTTTTTAAGGCCCAAAAGAATGAACGGATTATTACCGTCAGCCCATTAAAGGGGCTTAATGAGCACAGAGAGTCAATTAAAGATGGAATTACCCCCTCATCAAAGAACAGCTCAGCTGTGCACTAGGACAAGGACATATGACCTAGACACACACACTCCTTCCACTTGTATACATTATTAATCAGTGCAATGCTCAAGGATAGTTTGTATATTTCCAGTAAATAGCACTATGCAGAGGTCAAGTCTGCACAACTAACACAAGTAGAACAAACTTTGATCTACGTGTCTCATAACAAGTCAGGTGCATGTGCATGAACACATGCACACACAGTGCTCCTTCAGAGAGGAAAGTTGTAAAGGGCTTTAGCAGCTTGGCTTTACTCCGTCTGTTTAATAAGGAGGATTCTCATGCTGCTTCTGCACTGGTGAAACAATTGCAAAGAGCCCTTTCACAAATCAGACGCAAGACCCATGAATCCCCTTACCCAGGCAGATTGGTTTAGATCTTTTTTTTCTGAGAAAAGGAAGTTTAGGGTAATTAAAACAGTTGGGAACATTCAGGTGATGCCCTACCTGTTGAACAAGTTGTTTCTGGACACCATGCGCAGGAAGCCTGTTGGATCTGTGACTGAGTTAAGCTTATTGTTGAGTTCCTCAAATTGCTGGTCCAACAGATCTCCTGCCTCGCTCTCCGTCTCACTGCTCGAACACCCTCTGACAGACAAAGGGATGGAGGGAGAGACGTTCACAACCACACAAATATTGGCAAAGAAAATGCTTCTTGAGCACAGCAGACAATACAGAGACTTGTATTGTTTCTCTGTGGTTAAATCAACTCCACACACTCACGATCCGCCATAAATACACACCATTCAACCCACACTCCTGGCCCAATTTCCCATCTCTGAGCCCACTCTCTGATGATAAGCATAGTTAAATCCTTTCATTATTATGCTGGTAATGCTGATCTAGTCCAGGGGGAGTCAACCCCCACCCAACCCACTCATACTTGCCACCTCTCTCTGCCTTTATGTCTGAACCTTTCCTCTGATGTACCCAGATCCAGTTAACTCTGAAAGTCAGCATCTTTTTCTCACAGCATTTAAGTGAGAACTTTTAATCTCTTGTAACTGATACAGATTTTTTGCTTCTAATTTTATCTCATTTAGAAATCTGTGCAGTAGGAAGTTAAGATTGATTTTTCTCGTATGAAGAGTTAATACTGATTCACCTATAGGAAATTTATTAGATGAATAGCTTCACAGTCTTGGACATTTCAGTGTAAAATTTAGCCTCCTTTATTTTAAACACTCTTCCATCCCATTCATTTGAGCTCCACTTATTTCAGAGAGCTGCTGCCCCTTCGACTGCTCTCCACACAGTGAATGGGCTTGGTAAGTGGTGCCATATTGTACCCATCCAGGCGCAGTGGTGTGCATGCAACTTCCCATTGGAGTAGTAAATGAGATGATAATGGGGCAGGAGAGCCAATCTGCCGGGGTGGTGGAAACTGGAAACAGGCACCACGTGGACCAGCCTGGAACTGTGGCTCAAATCCCAACTCAAGAAAGGTTTAAATGTCCTCAGAGTCTCAGATGTCAGAATAATAATAATAATACTCTATTTATAAAGCCCTTTAAAACAACCACAGCTGCCACAAAGTGCTGTACATATAAAATCAAGAACATTTAAACACAAAACAGTTGTTACAACATTAAGATGAATAAAAACAATAAAAACAGTACAGAGCAAATTCAGTCTGTGCTAAAAGCCAGGGAGTAAAAATGTGTTTTTAAAAGAGTTTTAAAACTGGACAGTGAAGGGGCTCATCTGATGGGAAGAGGGAGATTGTTCCACAGTCTTGGAGCAGCAACAGAAAAAACTCTGTCCCCTCTGAGCCTCCGTTTGGACTTCGGCATCTCCAGGAGCAGCTGATCAGCTGATCTGAGGCACCGAGCAGGAGATTATGGGTGAAGCAGCTCAGAGAGGTAGGATGGGACAAGACCTTTTAAAATTTTAAAAACAAATAAAAAAATCTTAAAATGAACTCTAAAATGAACAGGCAGCCAGTGGAGTGAAGCCGGAGTGGGGGTGATGTGCTCCCTCTTTTGAACTCCAGTTAGAAGCCGAGCAGCAGCGTTCTGGACCAACTGGAGACGTCTGAGGGAGGACTGGCTGACGCCAAGGTAAAGAGCGTTGCAGTAATCCAGCCGAGAGGTGACGAAGACATGGATTACTGTTTACAGCTGCTGTAGTGTGAAGATGGGCTTTACCTTAGCCAGCTGTCTGAGGTGATAAAATCTGGTCTCGACACCGCTCCAATCTGGGAATCTAATTTAAAATCACTGTCCATTTTAAAACCCAAGTTAGAAACCGTTTTCTTTACATGTGGTGCCAGAGGACCCAGATCAACAGGTCAAGGTTCACAAGAGCCACTAGGACCAAACACCATCCCTTCTGTTTTCTTTTCATTGAAATTTAGGAAGTTTAAAGACATCCAGGCTTTGACGTCTTCAAGACACAACAGAAGTGGCCTAATTGAGGGGGCATCTTTCTTTTTTAGTGGCATATAGATTTGACTATCATCAGCGTGACAGTGAAAAAAGATCCCATGCTTTCTAAGGATTGATCTCAATGGAAGCAGGTAAAGGGAGAAAAGCAGGGGACCTAAAATACAGCCCTGTGGAACCCCAAAACACAGAGGAGCAATGGTGGATTCAGAACCAGCTATGTTGACTGACATGGTTCTGTCTGCCAGATAGGACCTAAACCAGCTCAATGCAGTACCACAGATACCCACTTGGTGTAGAAGCAGAAGGTGATTTTAATTTTCAACACATATGCTAATAAACATCTATACTGCCTTTGTTTACTTGCTTCTTTTGACTTTTTCACACATTTTTTTTTCACCTTATCTGAAACTTCTGCCTCTTTCTGTTGGCAAACTGCTTGCTCTTTTCCTTTACTTCAGGTGTGCCATGAATCCTGCAGATACTGGGAGCCATTATTCCATCTCATTTACTCTCACTGAGGGAAGAGTGGACTAGATCTGACTACCCAGGGTCCAATGGGGCAGAAAAATGATCTTTAAACACAAGCACATGAAAAAAAAACTTTTCTTCAGGCCACTTCAGATAAATTTATATGGAATGTCAGAAGAAGACGTTGGAGAATGGCTTAAAATGTAGATTATTAACTGACTGAAGAGCATCTAACATGACAACAGCTGCTGCACTGCAAACAAATTGCACCTCTAGATTTATACACTTTAACTTTCATGAAGTGAATGGTTTTAGATGGACTCTGCTGGGTGCAGAGGGACAGCTAGGGGGTCGTAATTGTTCACATTCTTTTATTTTCATACTAAATAAATAGTATAAAATTAAAAATGACAATAAGCTGTGGTGAGAGCTAACTGTAGGGACAATTCAAAGGATTTCACTTTTATCATGAATTGGCCATATTTTGGATCCATCCATCCATCCATCCACTTCCTTTTTGGGTCGCAGGAGTCACTGGTGCCCATGTCCAGCAGTCACTGTGAGAGAGGTGGGGTACGATACCAGGACAAGTCGCAAATTCATCCCCTAATTTATGTTTTTGTTTAACCAATTTTAATCCAAAAAATTAATAAATACCAAACTGCAAAAAAAAAAAAATTAAAAAAAAAAATCTACAATGCCTTTCAGATTGACTAATTAGAATTAATAAATTGCATGAAATTTTAAACCCAGTTTATTTTTTCTGCAAACATTTTTTCAATCAGTCTCATTCATGCCTCGGCTTCTTTCCCCCTTTATTTAAGTGCAATGATGTCTGTCTGTAGAACTTTACAGTCAGCCACAAAACTGCACATGCTATTTAGTTCTTCTTAAGATTTACAATCAGATTCTATATTGTCTGGTTTGGTAAATCTGACCCTTTAATGTAGATATAGTTCAGTCTGACAGCTGTAAACATCCCACCTGCTGTAATAAGACTCCACCCCCAGAGCCTCGCGAGCGCTGGCGATGTGCTGCTCCAGCGAGGAGCTGCTGACCATTCCACTTCCGCCTCCTTCCTGGAAGTCCGAGCCTCCTTCTGACAAGCCTTCGCCCAAGTAAACTTCATGAAACTTCAGGATTCCTATGGAGACAGAGAAGACAGAAGCCATCTTCACTCCCTGCTTTGGCTGTATGTGTTGATGAAGTGAAACCTAAGTAAGACTAAATTAATGCTACACTTTCCCACCTATTTCTGTGAATAATACACTTTTATTACTCGCTCAGAGTAGCAGGAAGTATTGAATCATTTCAAACACGAGCTGTGAGTAAACGCATGTGCAGCAGTCTGTGGAGCCAAATAAATAAAACAAACAACATTCAATAAATGACAAGAGTAGGCTGCATGTGCCATCTGCTGCCTGCTAGATCTGTTTCAGGCAGTAGCATCTCAACAGGCTGGGGGAGGAGCTTGCTGCGAATGAACAATAATTGCACATCATCTGATTGTGCCTGCCAACTCATGTCTAAATGCTGCAAAATGTACACAAATAAAGATTTTGCGGATTTAGATGCCTTTTTTACTTGCACTCTTTTGAGCTGGCCATGTTTGCATGCCAGCTGGGCAGACAAGGTTAGGGGGAGACATTAGTGAGCAAGTCGCTCCTTAGCTCGGGGTGATATTTAACACTTTGAAGATTCACACTCTTCCCTGCAGTGTGCTTTCTGCTTGCAAGACTAGTGCCGGGGGGTCAAGTTCAGCTGGTTGCCCAGGAGCTCGTCTGGATCAAATGTAGAGGGCCTGTGGCATGGGACATGAGTCACTCCTTTCATTTCTCCTCCTTACAGCCGACAGCAAAGAGGGGCTAAAGTACAACGGTGCTGGAGCCACAGGGATTGTGACATGCATCGTAATTAACCCACAGCTTCATCTATTCTTTTAGTTAAGCAGGAATTTCACCACTTTTCTGCATGTAAGTAGGCTGGCTCTTAGTCTCTGTGGATGTGTGGGTAGTACTCTGAAGTTACAGAAATGAAGAGTACACGTCTGCTAGTAGTAAATACTGCCAAAAGAAAACAAAAATAAAAGCATGGAAACAAAAGAAAGAAGCAAAAAAGAAACATGATATTTCGACTTCGTGTAAGAGCGTAATTGTTTCCTCTTGACATGTGGGTGGGTGTTCCTGTTGGCTGCGTCCCAATTTGTGTCAATGTCAATTAGCGTGGTTCATTTTCAGATGATTTCTGGGGTGAAAAGTGAGGCGGGAGAGGGGGGTGAGTGCAAATCCTGACTGTGGAGTGGCAGCTGGTGCTGCCACTTGGTGTCAAAGCTGGGCTTCTTACCCCCCAGCGGTTGAAATCAAGCCTTCAGCCTCCATGCCTTTTTTTTCTGCTTTGATTTGAACAATTGTGTACGTGTATGCATGCGTGTACATGTTTGACTTAATGACGTGAAAAAAATATACATCCTAGTTAGTGTAGCTATTGACTACAATGACAGAAAATATAATATTTAATAAATAATGTGACAACAAGAAGAATGAAGACTAATGTAGTAGAATTTCAGTGCGTTGGTGAAACGGTTTGCAGCAACATTAAACCTTACCTGCCCCTGGAGCCAGCAGCCAGCTGTACAGGTATCCTGCAGCCATTGAGAAATACAACACTAATGCCCTCTGGCTGTTCACCGTGTCCAAGATGTGCTCCACTGTTACTGGTGTGTAGGGGTCAGTGTCCTGCTGACCCGTCTGTCTCTCCACCAACAGATCTGCGAAGGCTCGTGTGCGACCCCGTTCTGCCACTGCCAGAGCTTCATCATGGTGACCTGCAGCGTTCACAGGTCAACAATGAACCGTTCGAAAACCTATTCTGTTATGTCATGAAGAGGTGTAAGACGGCGCAGTGAATGGTCGATAGGAGGAATGTTTGTTGGCTCACCAAGGCTGACAAGGACCCGCTGGAGAGCCTGGTAGCAGGAGGTTTGCAGGTCAAACAGAGAGAGTTTGTAGTCTGTGCTGTGCTGGGCTTCATGCCGGATGGTCTCAAACAGTGCGGATGCCCGGTAGAGCTGACAACAAACAACAGCAAGAAAAGTTCAGATGGTAAAATAACAAATATACAAAATGTCTGTGTTCCTGTCACTGAGGCCCACAAATAACATCTCAAACAGCCAAGACTCTCTTTGCTGCACGTTTAATTTAAAATGACTGCAGGGCGGCATGGTGGCTATTTTGTCAGAACTGTTGCCTCTCAGCAAGAAGGTTGCCGGTTCAAATCCCGGTCTGGGGGCCTTCCTGAGTGGAGTTTGCATGTTCTCTCTGTGCATGTGTGGGTTTTCTCCAGGCACTCTCGTTTCCTCCCACAGACTAAAAACATGCATGTTAGGCTGATTGTAACTCTAAATTGTCCCTAGGTGTGAGTGAGAGAATGAATAGTTTCTCATTTGTCTCTATGTGTCCCTGTGATGGACTGGAGACCTGTCCAGGGTCCCCTGCCTCTCGCACAGTGATTGCCAGATATAGGCACTAGTGACCCCCACGACTCGAAAAGGAAGAATCAGGTAAAGATAATGGATGGATGGATTCTAAATGTGAGTAGTTGTAACGCTGTTAAAAACATCATTTTAGAGTGTATGTGATCTGGCTTTTCAATAAATAAGAACGGATTTTGGCCACTAGATGGCAGCATCCCCCTCATGGATCACCTCTGATAAGACCTACTTCTGTTTTCCATTTCAACTAAAGAAACCACTGTGGAGTAGTTCAGTACCATCAAAACCTAAATATCTCTTCAGCTTTCTGAACATAGAACAAGGAAGTGAGATCCTAAACAATGACCTGTGTGTGAAATAAACACTCTGAGAATTCAAGAGTCCTGCCTGAGTTAGTGGGCATGTCTCCCCAGACTCAGGACGTGTGATTGAGGGAGGGAGGGAGACAACGGAGAGATGGGGCGACAGGAGACGTTACACACTGGCCAAGCAGAGTTTACTCAGAGTGCTGATTCATGTGAGCCTTTATTGATTTCCTATTTTTCCACTCGTAGCAGCCCAGTCGGATGATTGGGACTGACTACAGGGCTGCTCTCCAGGAGTCCAGGACAAGCAGTGAGGAGTACAACACTCCCAGGGCTTGGCTATAGTTCATATGAGACAAAGAGCAGCAGCAGAGAAAAGGTTACTAGTATGGATTAAATGTTTTCTATTAGCATAGTAGCTTTGACAGGTAAAGCAAAAGAAAAGGAGTGTGTATATTTCTTGAGAGCACTTTTCTATGGATCCACTGCAGCTGATGTGGTGTGCTCCAAGGTCATGCAGGAAAGTGTGTCAGAGAGAACGAGGAGGGGGCGAGTGGATCGCCAACAAGCCTGAGAGTTCTGCTGCATTAGTTCTAGGGACAGAGCTGCTAATCTAAGGCTGGTTTCACTGATAGGCTCTCAGCTGAACGTTCCTGACTCAAGAACCTCCTCAAACAGACGATACTCATTTCTCACAGCGTCTTCCCTCTGGCCATTCCTCAAAACACAATATCAAGAAACAGCCACAAATGTGCTGCCTCCACAGTGACTTGCACATCTGTGGTGTGAGCAAAATGCTCAACATCACTAAGCCGTTATGTATTCAGACAGCACCCTCTCATTTTACTGCCACTGGCACAACACGGCTTTTATCTGACATGTAAAGTGAATGTCACGCCCAATCTGTAACCTAAGCAGAGCTTGTTACACACAGACCTCTAATGATTAAGAAAAAAAAAACAGCTGGGGTAGTCTCATCCTTTGTGCTAAATAATCTCAAATGAACAGGCTTAATCTACAGTGGGCCAGAGATTTTTAAGGAAGCACAGATTTATTGATTTTCACTTGCTGAACGTGAGCACCTCTCAAAGGAAGCGGGCTCTGCTGAAGTAGCCGTTTCAAATCAGGACACGTCAATCAGCGAGTCGTGGTGAACACCAGGATCACAGCCGGGGCGATAAAAAACAATTAGGTTTAAATATGTAGAGAATAAGCAACATGAGGTCAAGTACTCCCAATCTACACCTATGGCTGCTTTATGCATTTAAATACGAGCTTCTACGGTTGCAGTAAAAAGTGGGTCAGAGTGTTTACCAAGGTTATTTGTAGTGACGAGCCAGCTCATGAATAATATTTGATCTGTACTCTGAAGACAAAAGTGTCCCTCCCCACTATCAATTCACCCTGAGGGATACAAGCTGGCAAGGGGAAAATTGTAAAAATACCTTTAGTTTAAAGAACCGAATCCACTACGCTGTGTAAAGGACTGTTAAGACTTTGGGATCAAAACTGGAAAACAAGTATGCAGTGGAAAATATGTTGCATTGGCTTGTTGGAATAATATTTGGCTTTTAATTGAACACAAATTCCCCAAAATGACTCATTCAGACTCTGCTCTGGTCGCTACCTTGGTGCAATCTTGCTTTCCCAGCTCTTGTAGATAATTGCAAACAGGCTAAACTAACTTACTTTTTGAGATGTATGATGCAGGCCTAAAAAACAAAAGCTATCTGGGTCGTGTAGATGATTATTTGCGTGCGATGTGCACATATGCATGCATCATAACAGGAGTGTTTTGGTCTAGATTTTGAAAATGAAAGAAGTTGAAACGTATCCCTGCAGACACATGACAACCACTGCTGTTGGCTCACTGACAGATCTGTGTGTAGACACACAAGCCAGACAAAAAGGGAAGGAGAACGAAATAAATAAAATAAAACTCTTGAGCTTCAGTGTGGACAGAAGGCAGAGAGAGATGTTGAGAGGATGTCCCATGCTTGCCAGGTGAGCAGTGGGCTGAAGAGGAGAGAACGTGTGTGTGATGCTGAGGTTTGGGACTCCTGAGACAATGAAAAAAAATCAGCTCGTCTGTCGCCTGTCTGCTCAGTTGACAGCGTTTACCGGCTTTACAGACTCCTCAGCATACTGCCAACAACCGTGCACAAGCTCTACAACCACCTCTTCTTTTTTCCTCCTCCCGCCCTCTGCTGCTTCTTCTTTGGGCTCTTTCCTCCACCATAAGGTTATTACGGAAAGCTTATTTCCCATCCTTTATGTGTTTGGACATCTACCTCCACCTCTCATTTGTAAGCGCTGCCAACCTCTCAGCCGACAGATGTGGGCTTATTGGAGGTCAGTTTTAACTACAAGGGCTGGATTTGCTGGGAGGAGTCCAAATCAAAGGGAAGTAGATGTGAGGAGAACCGAGTCAAGGTCACTCAAAGCAAGAAGAGGAAGAAGCGAGAGATACTTTACCTGATGTTGGGCCTCCTCCAGATTCCCGCTGGCCCACAGGGAGAGCCCCAGACGATGGCGGATCTTCGCCTCGTCCTCACGCCGGGCCAGCTGCTCTGCAAGCCGCAGGCCTGTTGGAAGAGGAGGAAATGGCAGCGGATGAGATAGGGAGCGGAGAGTGAAAATTATTCAGAGCAGACCGACTCTTGTGTATCTTTGAGAGTAACAGATGTAAGCATAGCGTGGTACTGATGTTCAGACAGCGAACAGGTTTGGATATTTGGCCTCAGTCGTAAGACGCCGATCGTGCGCTGGGTTTTAAGAGCTTGCACACGCCTCTGGCACAGGAGAAGAGTGTTAGAGCACTAATCGGACTGCATAGTAATCAATGCACCAGACTGACTGGCTGGGCAAACACAAATAGGCGTGGGATGCTTGCATAAAGGAAGCCACACAATATCACAGAGATGTCAACAAATATTTGCAAACACGTCGATCGTCTAATAATGAACTTTGTGCAAGCACCGACGAAGCGTACTTTGTGATATTATGTTTAAGCAACTTGTGGCGTTCTCTAAGAAATCAGCAGACTAAACCTGTGAGTGTGTCTGGATGTGTGTGTTCGTGTCACATCTCTTTGGGAGCAGTTTTTCACTCCTAAATCTTCAAGCAGGAAGATGTTACATATATGTAACATTTGAGATGGTCGTGGATTTCAGAAGGAGCAACCCCCCCCCCCCCCCCCCAGCATGAACATAGGAGGATCTGCAGTGGAAGTGGTCTCCAGCTACAAATACTTAGGTGTACACATGAATGACAACCTCAGCTGGGGCAACAACATCACCAGCCTGATCAAGAAAGCTCTACTAAAGGATAAAGGATGGGAGACTCTACTTCCTCAGGTGGCTGAGCTGAGCTGGTGTGGGAAGTTCAGTCCTCGCCTCCTTCTACAGGTGTGCAGTGGAGAGCATCCTGTGCTCCAGCATCAACATGTGGCATGGAGGCTGCACAGCTGCAGAAAGAAAAGCTCTGCAGAGAGTGGTGAAGGCTGCACAGAAGTCTGTTGGAGTCAGTCTCCCCACCATCACAGACATCTACACCTCTAGATGCAGGAAGAGAGCCACCTGCATCATGAAGGACCCCACTCACCCAGCACACACACTTTTTCCCCCGCTCCCCTCAGGAAGGAGGTTGAGGAGCATTAAGTGTAGAACCACTAGACTGAGGAACAGCTTCTACCCTGAGGCTGTAAGATTCATGAATCTAACCAGAATAATCACTGTGAAGAAATCACATCATGCTGCTGCTGATCTATTTCATGTTGATGTGTTTATGCGTGCTCATCTGCTCACACACTCATGTTTGTGCTGCTGTTCGACATAATGTTTTTATGCTATTAGTGCATAACGTATTTTTAATTGATGTTTTTCTTAGTTCATATCTTAGATCTTATTACAGTTTTTCTTTTTTTTCTTTTTTTATTACACATTTTATTGTTGGATGTAACTGGGACCCTGAGTACACAATTTCGTGCCACCACATGTGCTACATGTGGTGCGAATGACAAATAAAGAAACTCCAAACTCATATTTGCATGTGTCCTTAGTTTGCTCAGTCACTTGGTTTGGCTGTTACAAAGATGAAAATGCCTCATGCAGAATAATGATGAAAAAAAAATGACAGCCTCGGGGTCACAGGCTCAGAAAGCCTCCTACATCCAACAGAAGGCTCTTGTATGGTCTCTGTGTGGATGATGAAGGTGTCAAAGAAAAGCACTTTTTGTTATTAAAAACGAGAAAATTGGTCAAGCCCACCTTGTCTGAGTCTGCTTGTCTCTGCTTTCCTGGAAAACAATCTGTGGGCCAGACAGATAAGCCAAGAACCTAGAGTATGACCCGTAACAGGCATAATCCTGCAAGTCTTGCACATAGACAGCCATAGCTGTAGACTTCATGACTCCACCTTGGCCACGCCAGTCGGCAGCCTTTGAAGGCAAGCCCACAACAGCCTCCCTTCTTCTCCTTATCTTTCCACACAACCTCCCTCCGCCTGCCTGCATGCCCTCTTCCCCCCATGCATCTGCTGCACTTTCTCCTCTCATCTCTGTGCTTCTGTCCCCAATCCCTCCCTTCCCACCCCCTCCCACCCCGTTCTCTACCTGTTTCATCTTTACCGTGGTGGCAGTGCTTGCAGGGACTGCAATGCTTAGGGCTCATTAGGTGCTGGAGCAAGAGAGAGGAAACAGATCTAAATTATCCTTTTCATTCTCTGACAACATCAGCCCTCACTCTTCTCAACTCCATTTCTGAGGCTTTCATCTGCACACATACACACACGCACTTGCACATGCACATGCACATGACACACACACACAGAGAAAAATCGGATCTTTCCCAAGCTACTCTGTGATAGTTCTTTACGATCAAGCCTGAATGTCAACCAACTCTGTGTTTTCTTTATTCTCCAGCTGACAGTGAAATAATACATGAGAATTATGACTCATGCTGATCTCTGTCTTTCTCCTCCGCCTGCCTGCCAGCCTTCTTTCTTCTCCCTACATCTTCTTCCCTGCCTATTACTCTCCCATTCCCTCTCTTCTCCTACTCTGCATCATTCAGTGTCTGTCACTGTCACCGTGCGTGCCTTTGGTGTGCCCGGCAGGCACAGTCACGTAGCGGCGGCTGACATGAGGACGTGGCCGTGGCTGGCTGCACTCTGAAGAGCAACTTGAGAACACTTTAAAGGATGCTTGACAGCTGGGTGAGAGACCCTCTGCAGCCGCCCTAAGGCCCACACACCTCTTTCTTCAGTCGCAGGCCCTCTCCACAGACTCCACATACACGTCTCGTGCACTGGCGCTGTGCTGCTAACAAATAACCTGGCATGTGCAAGCGCATGACATGCTGCAACAAAGTACCCTTTGATCGTGACCGCATGTGGAACCGTGAGCAGAGTCTGGGATATTGTTGAAAAATGGGGATAAGAGCGCACACGCTCTCTACAGGGATGAAGCATTGCCAGTGTTGCACTGGTCTGCACAGATGAAAAGTGTCACAAATAGTTGAGCACCTGATGACTAAAGAGAGGCAGGGAGCAAGGTACAATGCCTCGCTCTCCCCTCTACACCGCTGGCCAATCTCACCATGAAGAAGACACAGAAAGCCTAAATCAGCTGTCTCAAACTTCTGAGGCTATCCAACCGCCTGAATATGTAGTTTTGACCGAGTCTGATCAAATGGACTTGTGCTTTTTTATAACTGTTGACACTGAGCTCTACCTGCTTTGTGTGATTAAAAATCTTCCAAAATTTACTGCTTTTGTTGCAGTTAAGAACACAACTTAACTTATTTTTAATTCATCCTTACAAAAGATTTAATACAAATATATAAAGTGGCACAAGCTTGTCATTTACATTTACATTAAATAATGCAATAATGATAATAAATAAAATAAATAAGAAATAATGTTATTATTCAACCTTTATTTAGACAGGTTAATCTCACTGAGCTTCGAGGACTCATTTACAAGAGAGACCTGATATTAACTTACTTTTTATGAATATGAATGTTTCTGTTCAGTGCCCTGAGACGACTTCTGTTGTGACTTGGTGCTGTATAATTAAACTGAACTGAACTGAATTAAGTTTAAGCATAAAGACTAATGTTCAAGTAAGCTTGCTGAATAACACAAAGCATTGGGAAATTTAATTTAAATACATTTAAATAGTAATCTTCAAAAGACTGTATGAGAAGTTTAAACAGCCATCTTCAAAATTATTATAACTATGTATAGTTGAACACTGACCTGATTTATGAAAAGCATAAAACGAAAGATAACACTTTTTTTTTTACTTTTGAGCATATATAATATATTATTATTAATATATATATTCTTTTTAATTCCAAGCTTTTACCGATATAGTAAAAGGAAAAAAAAGAGTTTGAATAATAAAAGAGTGGGTATCCTGCACTGAAATAATTTAATATTACTGCAGCTTTGAGTCTGGATATTTTTTACCCACTTTTCCTGCAAAATCATTCCAGCTGCTCCAGCTAAGTGGGATTAGTAAATTGAGTGCAATTTTTTTCTGAAGTCTATACAGTAAGTATCGTATAATCTGTAGGCAAATTCAGTTATTTTTTGTTTTTTGAATGTCCATTTTGAAGCATCAGAAGTTTAGGATTATTTTGAATCTTAATAAAAATATTATTTTCAATAATAGCTTTTTACAGATTCACTCGTCAATCGACTTGATTGATCCCCTCGTCACAGTGAAACGTTCCCTGACTCTCTGGCTGCTACAGAAACAGCATGATTGAACCATCGGCCAGTGTAAGAAGGGTATTGTTTTGATAGCATTTAGAGGTTTTCAACCCCCAGCTTCTACTAACCCTGCAAAAAAAATTATGGAATCCTCATCTTGGAGGATGTTCCTTTAATTGTTTAATTTGTTTGAAAAAAAAAAAAAAAAACAGGCATGCCACAAAACTATAGCTTTCCTATGACATTTAAGAAATATGTTATATCTGTCTGTCTTCATTTCTAAAGTGTACTCCAGCGGATTAAATCATGTGGCTACATAATGGGTATGACGTGGGAAGAGGTGGGCAATGAAAGAACAGTGGTCACTGGTTGCAAATGCTCAGAATTTAGTGAGATTGCAGCAAAAATGTGTAGTTCTTGCAATGATAAGTGAAGTTCACTAACTTTTTACCAACAGTCAGCCCAGTGAGATACTGCCTTTAGAGTTCAAATCTTTTGGGGCTGTCAAACTTTAGCACGATACTATTCACTTTTTAATAAATGGACCAAACTAAACAAAATCACACCATCATTTGTTTGAACATATAGAATTAAATTATTCATCTAATCACTTAAATACAACCAGTGACAGGAGTATTTGACTAGGGTGCCCTTATTTTTCAATTCAATTCAATTCAATTCATCCATCCATCCATCCATTTTCTTCCGCTTATCCGGGGTCGGGTCGCGGGGGTAGCAGCCTAAGTAGGGAGGCCCAGACATCCCTCTCCCCAGCCACTTGGGCCAGCTCTTCGGGGGGAATCCCGAGGCGTTCCCAGGCCAGCTGAGAAACATAGTCCCTCCAGCGTGTCCTGGGTCTTCCTCTAGG